TTCAAGGGAACACACCATTTCTAGAGTGACTCTAGAAACCACATAACCTTCAGGCAACAGATGTGAAGGGAATTCATATTATTTAAATAATATTCTATTATCTAAGCACATTCATTACATATAATTAGTGTACATATTATGGATGTATAGAATACATTCCTGTTACGGATAATATTGCAATTCCTGCATTTTAAGATTCATTTTAACCTCAAATGTTCTGGCTGACTGGAACAGCTCTCCTCTTCCTTGGCATACACAAAGCACCACAGAGTACTTATACATGCACACTTGTGGAGAGTTTTGAACATGCTGCAGGCTCTCATTATATAACAAAGTCCCTTTGATGTATCTGTTTATTGCCTGGAAAACAGTGTGAGACTTACAAGGTCCACAGGGAACTTTGGGTTAATTAAGTCTATCACTTTCCCATGGATCCTGGTATGATCAGTGACTGAGGCAGCCAGGTAACATTGACTTGATGGGAACTCTTCACTGTTCTTCCAGCTACTCATTATTACTTCTTTAAAAAGCAGTTGTTTCTAGCAGGATCAATAAGCAAGTTTGGAAGAATTTCTAGCAGCTAAATAAAACACATACTTTACATGGGTGGCAGCATATTTCCAGATATATCTGTTATGCATCAATCCTTGTTAAAGAGATAAGCTGGGCCTCAATGAATCCTTTCCTGCTAAAAAACTCTACAAACAGGTAAAAAGCTTTGTGATGTGGCCAGTCCTGTCTCTTTGTGGCTCTCGATTGTCTCACTGCAATAATGGCAAAGGAGCAAGCGAGACACACGGATATCCTTTAGAGCCTTCCAGGTGTTCAGTGCCTGATAACACTAACTTTACTAGGGTTCTTGCACCCTGCCTTCTTGTCTCTTTGAAGAGAGGTGATGACTGCACCCAGGGTTCCAAGTTCCCCTGCTCATTCAAGGAGAGAACAGAAAGAGGTTCAAGGATCTTACAACACAGAAATGCCCTAGGGTTTGCACCATTGATGGTGATAACAGGTAGAAGCCATGAATGCCCCTATTAGGAGCACCATCCGAGTGACAAGATATCAAGGAACCTCTGCAGGCTGGAACTTGCTGAATTTCCCATTCTTTAAGCTGGATTTTCCCATTTGATCGATTCGCAGTGTGGTATCACTCTTGGAATGGCCTGGAGGAACAAAAAATATAATATATTGGACTGGAATGCAAACCCAGCAAAGGCATGGGTGAGGTGCAGCAACAACCAACAAGTATTGAGCTGCATTGCTCAGGGCAGCATCAGAAAAAAATAAGGTAGAAGTGGAAAAGGGAGTGGAATTTATTGTCTGTGTTCAGCTATGTCTACACAGAGTGAGCATGGCAGTGTAAAATGTGTCTTGTCTGAACACAGCCTCTGCTATGGTTGGTCAAATTCAGGTGAGGTGATATCAGGTGGTAGGTACCCATTGGCCCCCTCGGGGGAAGAGGAGGGTGGGGAACTCCTGGAAGCAGGAAGGCTGAGTCACTCAGCTCTATTCTCCTTCAAGCAGTCAAGCAACATATGAGATTAGATATGTAATCTGTACTTTTGCCAAAGTGGTAAATGAATAAAGGAGGTTGCAAAAGGAACGGAAACCCATTCAAATGAAATTGTGTGAAAGTGAGCACAAAATACACCACAGAAAATAGTAAAGAATAAAAACTTTAAAGCTAAAGGAGTTGAAATTTTACAGATTCTTAAGTGTTGCATTGCCAGAGCTATCATGTGGGAATTAACAATGTTTTTACCTTTTCTTAGTGAATACAAAGAAATATCTAACATTTTTTAGATAACATCATCATATATTAAGAGATAACTTTTGCAACACTCTTAAATTCCAAATTTATCTCTTCCCTTTTTGAAACAAACTTTTGACTCTCCTAAGTTTGATGAGGGTTTAAGAATTTGTGGGAGTATGTGAGGGTTGAGTCCACCTTAAAAAAGATCATCCATCATCTAAAACATTTTTCAAATGTACAAGTATTCCATATTGCAAGAGAAGGAAAACTCCCTAAAGCTTCATCTCTGAAGATAGAATGAGTTTCCTATCTTCAAAAGCCCTATCCTTCTTTCCAAGTAAGTATTCATTTTATAATACCCAGAGTTGTCTGGAGAAATAAACTATATTGCTGAGAAAGTAAGCTAATTTTTCCCAAAGATACTCCTAGTAATTTTAAAATACCTAGAAATTAGCAGGGTGTTTTCAAGGACAAATGCATGCAGTTCTTATTCAGAATGGTCTAATCATGAAGCACAGGAGAAGGGAACCACTGGAACTCTGAACACCTCTTTTTGGTTGCTAATTCAGCCACTGCTTTTCTTCCCATGACTGTCAAGGTCATCCAGCCTTTCCATACCTTGTTTCCCCAGGTGCAAAATGGAGACAATTTTTCCATAACTCACATTAAAACTAAGAAAGCTGAGATTTTTATGTTTTTAATATGGTAGGACAGAGGACTTGGGCTACACAGACAGAATTTAAACCCATTCGTTTTCCTTCACTGCCCTGCTATAGAAGGTGTTAGAAAAGTCACTACCACCAAGTTCTTCAAACATGAAGCTCTGATGCAATGACAACTGGTGCACCTGGAACAAAGAGTCAAAGAATAGAGCTCAGCTGTGAACTTTTTCATAATGAACACAAGTCCTAAGATGAACAATGCCAGGAAATATTTTATTGATGCTAAGCAGCTTGACTCAGAAGCACCAACATTATACTGGCTTTAGTGACACTGTAAATGCCCCAGATAAAGTGACTTATATGTGATTGGTATCAAGGGGTTGCTTTGTGGATATTGGCTGAAACACAAGGCTTGGTAAGTGCAATGAGACCTTAGATGCACTTAGCCATAGACTTGTGGTCAGTGCCATTATGGAAGAGGCTGTTAATGAAGTCAGACTCCAGACATATTTGCCTCAGACCCTGCTATTCTGAAATGCACTCTTCTGAAGAACAGTCAAAACTACATACCCCTGGAAGCTAAAAATCCCATGCTTTGGCTGAGACAGCTTTGAGATCTTCACTCTCACATTAACCCACCTTCCGAGAAAAAAGGCTGCACAGAGATCTCCTTTTTCTCCTGATGCTCCACGCTGTCCTTGCACAACTGCTTGCATCACAGGTGAAATGCACACGTGAACTACTGAGAATGAGCATGTTTGCCTCCTGTAAAGAGCCACACGTGAAGATAAAAGTCTGCCCTGAAAGGAAACAAGAAGATGAGGCAGAAGAAATATAATGCATCCTTGGAGAGGAACGTGACACGCGGGTCCAGGTGCTGACAGTCCTGCACGCAGAGATGTAACTCTCAACTCTGGAATACTGAGCTAGAATTTGCTCTGGGATGTGTGCCTGGCTGGCCACCAATCACAAGGGAGAGCAGTGCCTTTTGGCAACTCAGAGCAAGACATATCCAGAGTCCTCAATAGTACTCCTGAGGGTAACAGCAGCTGAGGGTAGATAGGATTGGACATTTTCCAAAGCATCTGGAGCAAGTGAGCCTCTTAAGCCAGGGCTGCCCAGTGCTCTCATTGTGATCTGGGACTATTAGAGAGGTGTCTGTAAACTGGAATAGATATTAATTACTGCAGTGTATAATTGCTTGGGCCAAACAAGGTTCCTAATCCTTTCTTTGCATTTTTGACTTTCTTATCTCAAGCATCTCCTAATGTGAAGTAGTGTAGGCCAACACACAAGGTGTCCAGCAGCTGGAACTCACCCACCCTTTCAATATTCATGTATCTACCTTAATAATAAGGAACCAGCAGCTGGTTTTCCCCCCTGCTGGAATGACTGTCTTCCAGCCTCCACAGAAGTTAGTGTTGATGCCCTTTTTACTGGAATTTTGCTTTGCTATGAGCACCAGCCCGACCGAATTTATCCTGCACAGCCTGGTAATAACCAGTGTTTCCACAGGGTATGCAGAGGTTGGAACTTCAGTAAGAGGAATCTGCTTCTTTTTTGCCATTTGTACTTGGTAAAATACATCTGAATCCCTCTCAAACAGTTTGCCTGACTAATAGCAGCATCTCACATCCCATCTTAAAAATATTCTAGCAATGAGATAATTACAGAAGGAAATAGGCTATATTTTCTCAAGAAATCGAAATGCTAGTTTAATTTGCTAGAAGTGCTCAGGGAAATTGTTTTTCATGAAAGTTCAAGTTTCTCCACATGGACCACTGCAGCAGAAGACCATCCTTCTGTGCTCAGATCCACAGGAAAACTGTAAGTTGTATTTTACATTTCTTCCAGCTGGAGTTTCAAAAATTAGCAAAGATCAGTTGTCATCATTTAGCTTTACATTTTCTAAAATCTCTATTCTTATGGAGTTTTGGGTGGCTTTTTTTGCTGTGTTTCTGTTTGCTTGTTTTAATACAGATGAAGTTTAATGAATAGTGTTGTCCATACATAAAGATAACAGAATATGGAATTTCAAGACAACACAGGCAATATTGAGCACAAGAGTTTTAGCGGTTTGGATAAAGGGTTCAGTCCTGGGCCTAGGTACAAACTTGTGTAAGTCATTATATCCCTATGTCTCTCTTTACCTGATAAAAATGTAGTACGTTGTGCTTCAGACTATAGGACAAAACAGAGAACTGATGTTTTCAAGGTTTTCTGACATCCTTTGATGAGATTGGAAAACTGAAGCTTTGCATACTTATGGAAAAATCTGAAAACCTTGTTGCCCTTCACTATTTTAATGATGAAAATGTAACAATAATGTAGCTCCCAATCAAAAGCTGAAGTCTGCAAAGCTGCAAAAGTATTTTTAAAGCTGCTTTATAAGCAACACTTCACTAGATAGGTATGGTGAAAGATTATTCTTTAAGAAAAGCTTAGCACTTCCGACACTTTCAGCACTTAAACACAGAGAGATATCATATTTTTAATGTATTTTGAAGTTTATTTTTCTTAATAATTTTTAGGTCAAAAGCATTGTATGTAACCAAGAAGTGCATAGCACTGAATGCATCACTGACTAGCACAGCTCAAAGAGGACCAAGGAGACAACTCACACACTTCTGCATAAAGTACATAACATCCACTGGTGATACCTGTGTAGCAATCTATGGGCAAATGAAATTTATAACATCTTCATTTATTTTAAGTGTAGTCTGTTGTGTATATACAAAATCAGAAAAATATATTCCTTTTTTCTTATATACACTATATAACATGAGAATAAAATCTGGAATAGTTTGCAGTAACTTAGATGAGACTGGACTTTCAGATACAGAGCTTTGGAAACACCTCTTCAGCATCGTTTGTCTTGGACCATTGTGATAAAAAAGTTGCAGAAAGAAAGCAAACTTTCTGGACAGTATTCCTCAGCCACCTTTCTCTGGTCAATGTAATCTACATCTTCAACACAGTCTTGAGGACTTTGTTCTGGTGTTTTTTCAGACACAGAGGCAGCTGCTGGAGTCAGAACAACTTCTTGCACATGATGCTTTGTGTTCCCTTTGTCAGCACCCACTGCTGTTAGTAGGCTTGAGTGGGTCAGCCTGAGGTGAGCACTTTGCGGGCCTTTCCTGCATACTTTAGATTTTAGTACACTTTTGGGGTCTTGACAGATCTGCTTCTGCTTCTTTAGGGATCGGGAGACTTGTTTCCAGTAGGTTTTCTGGTTTGCTGCATACTGTGCACAGCTGGAAGGGTCTCCAGAGAATTCACACCAGAACTTGTTGTCACCCTGCTTGCACTCCACATGCACAGTAGCAGCATTCATGTCTGCCACTGCCCAGGTGCACTCAGCATTCTCTTTGGTTTCAAACTTGCCTCTAGGAAATGATTTTCCTCCTTTTGACTTCTGCATTTTTTCATTTCCTTGAGTAGATGCAGTTGGGGTTTTTCCACCATCCTTTATTCCTTGTCTTCCCTTTTTTCTTTCCCTCTGTCTTTCACAATTGGCTAGCAGCATCTGGGAGACCAGCATCAACACACAAAGGAGTCCAAAGCTCTTGATCCTCATGGTCTCTGCTTTGTTGTTATCTGCTTTCAGAACAAACAAACAAAAACATAAAAACATTTTCAGTTAATGTTGGACTCCATTTGACAGTTGAAGTTTTCAGACATGGCATTGCACTACTCTTTGATACCTATTAAAGTGATGTTATTGGCAAAATGATCTCTCCATTGTGTAAATAATATCTGGTTTCTAGAAGCACTATGAATTATCCTCGTAAATGGCTGCAGAGTAAATTCCAGTAATTTAACTATTTATACAATGGAGAACAGAAGATTCACTGTCAGGACACAATACTGCCCAGTAACTGAGGTACCTTAATTAAAATCTCTGTTGTAGTCAGCAAAGGAATATGAACCTGGGATTTGTCAATCTCAGATATCTTAAGTTACAACAATAAATTTGTTTCCACAATCTCCCACTTTGTAAAATGTCCCATAAGTGATTTTGACCTCTGGCTATTTTTCAAAGATATGTCATACAGAAAGGAAACCATTTGTATCAAATTGAGAAAAACTATTTTGTAGGCATCCTGAAAATCATTGTTATTCACTGGTTATGACAGCATTTCAGTTTTCTGTTGAAATAAATTATGGTAGTCTTTACAGACATCAAAAAGTAACTATTGATGCATTCTTTGCCCCTTTGACTGCTAAACAAACAGAACTACCTTTTTGCTTTTGAAGATACCTGCAGGGTACTGGACTGTGTCTAAAGCTACCAAATTCAAGGGATAAATATGCAGCTTCAGTTTTGAAATATAGCTAGTGAGCAACTTATTATCAAGCTGATTTCCGCATCTGCACAGAACACATTTATCTCCATAGGTGTTTCTTTTTATGAAGCAGCTTTCAGGATCAGAGCAGGGTTTAAATCAGATATTTAGATGATTAAATCCCTAAATGTATTTTTCAAATGTTTCCATCATAGTAATTTCTTTAGCCAAGTTTTCATGTTGGAAAGCAGAAATTCGTGTGCAGCCACATTAATAAGGAATCTGTTTCAACATTCAGTTATCTGCAAATATCTTTGGTAGCATAAATTTAGAATGTAGAACACACAGGTTTCAGTATATGTGAGCAGGTCCTACTTTCACATATTTTTGACTTGACTTGCTTCAAGCCTTATACTATACACAAATTTTCAGTCCATAAAACCCTCTTTAGAGAACCTCATGTAGTATTAACAGCTCTGTTGCAAATACAGCAACTAATAACATTAAAATGAATAAAGATTTGACAGCAATATTCTATTGCAAGTGGAACAGTGCAAAGAGTAAGATAACTGAAAGACATACCTTGCACGGGGATTCCCAAACGCAATCCTGACGCAACTCACCTCTTTCAAAAGTGGAGCTCGTTGTAAAAGCAGCGCGGTTTTTATAAAGGCAGAGACACACCTTCAAGTCTCCAGTCAGACTATTACAACACAATAGGATACTTCAGTGCCATGTTCACTTACCTCTGACACACCTCCTTGGAAAAGGGCCAGTTCTCATTCTTAGCACAAGAAAAAAAAAAGGCCTGGCTATGGTGGGTGACAAGGTGTGCTTGCGTAATTTAGGTGTTACTTTAGCCAAGTCCTTCCCTCCTCGTGAACAGCGATAAGAACTCTATCAGGTCATGAGCTTCTCTGAAAGAGCTGTTACCAGCTATTGAGGGATGTTTCCTGCACATCCTCAACAAGTTGCGCTACCATTTCGTTTAGCAGAATTTGATAATGATAGTGAGAACCACTCCACAAAGCATTTCAAAGTTACCTTTCAAAATGTAATGAAGTACTTAAAAAAACCAAAGTAACTATTTGAATAATAAGTAATACGAGTCCAGAGCAGGCCACTAAGTCAAGGGCTGGAGTACCTCTCCAGGCCGGTGCAGGCCATTCAGCCTGGAGAAGAGAAGGCTCCAGTGAGATTTTACAGCAACATTTCAGTACCTAAATGGGGATTACAAGAGAGCCAGAGAGGGACTTTTTACAAGGGCGTGTAATGGTACGACATGGGATGATGGCTTTAAACTGAAAGAGTGTAAGGCTGGATGAGATGTAAGGAAGAAATTTCTTTTTATGATGAGGTTGGCGAGACACAGGAAAGGCTGCCCTGAGAGGTTGTGGACTTCCCATCCACAGAAGTGTTCAAGAGTAGGCTAGACAGGGCTCTGAGCAACTTGGTCTAGTGGAAGGCTCTTTGTCCATGGCAGGGGGATTGGAGCTAGATGATATTTAAGGTCCCTTCCAACCCAAACCATTTTAGGATTCTATCATTCTGCATTTAGGATGGCGAGATAGTGAGATGGTCATTTATGATGAAATGGTCAAAAGCATGAAACTCAGAAACAAATTCAAACTCCTGCAGAATTAGTGACCGAGAGGTCTAAGGGCTGAGTTCAGCTGCACAGCACTGATCTACACTCCTCCCTCTGCCAGCTTTTGTGTGTGTAAAGAAGTGTGTTACATCATGAGATTTCATTATGGGACCACATCTAATGCATATTAACCTGAAAAAGAAGATGTGAGTGAAACAAGCATTAGACAAATATAGAAACACATTCAGAGCTGGGAATAGGCATCCCTCAAAGAATGGATAGAGCAGCTGGTAGCTTTGTAGCTTGGTTGCTTCAGGTGGTTTTGCTGAAGAAATGTGAGGCATTTGTTATATAAGCTTTGGAAATACAAGAATTAAAAAGGGATGCAAGAACAGAGAAAAGTAGAAATTAGTGTAAGATATAGGCAGGTATTCCTCTTTGGCTCTTTCCTATCTGATATAAATGGAATTAAACAAAGGGACAAAGCTATAGACACAGCATTGTCTGGACTGGTTTGGTGACAAGGAGACTGTTAACTTTCTGTAAAAAAAAACAAACAACAGAAGCAAGAAAAGGAAGAACAGTGCAATTCTTCAATGACTGTAGGACAGAAATGTGCATTTATTTGAAATATGAATGGTCTGATCTGTGTATCAGGACCATCTCCTATTCTATGTATGTGCAGCTGTCTTTGATGCTTTTTGATGGAGTTCAGGCACCACATCTGCCTTGTGCATCTTTGGTTGGCAGGAGTTACTATGAAACTGTTTGCAAAAGTCTGCTAAATGTGACAGACTTGTGGTTAGCACTGGCAAAGGCTGATGATGGGGGCAAGGATGTTTAACAATATGTCAGGTTGGAAGGGAATCAGAGAATGAAAGCAATGTAAGAGAGAAGTAAGCAAGGTACTATCTTGCTCAGGAATACTAAACTGACGTTACATAGTATACACAGTACTATCTAGAGTATTTAGGATTTAGCAGGGATCCTCAAAACTGTGCAGCTGTATTAGTGTGGCTCTGTGCTGTAGTTAATGAGCCTCTCAGCAGGGCTAATTACTCTGGGGACACTATAAAGCCAAAGGGCTATGCTAATCTCACATTCTGGTACTAATTTAGGTATGGTTTTATTGTGCCTGATTGCTTGTGTAAACATACTATAAATTGATTTTTGTGTGACAGATTAGGGTATTGGTTCAGCTATAGGAGCCTGAGCAATCTGGTTTCAGGACCAAAGCCAAAAACCTAACCAAACCACAACACACACCTTCCTACTACAGCTGAACAATGTCTCCAAATAGGTAAGAGAGGAAGGTTAAAAGTATGTAAGGAACCATGGGAAATGGGACCAAGCACAAAATTTACAGGAAGGAAATATGTGTTCCTGTCCCTGCTCTGTCATAGACTTTGTCAGAGATATTTACTTGGAGATGACACTGGTTCTTCACCCGGAAAGGGAATTCTCTTGTAGGTGATGCTGCAATGATTTTTTGTTGGTGCTTACAAAATGCCATTTAGTGGTGAAATCAATCACAACTTATTGAAAACATTTAAGCCCTCCACCATTCATTGCTTCCAAAACTGCCTATTTTGACAGCTTTGATGAGCAAAATAAGTTTTAATGTTAATCTCAGTTCAGCTGCCCCATTATTGACAGTACGTATCCTAGTCTTCTTACTTCATAAAAATGGGGGAGGACAGGGAGAGAAAAGGCTGCACAAGTGAAGATCTGCTTTCTGCTGCTTTGGTGCTTCCTCCCCGAGGCTGTGGCAAACTGGACACGTTGGCTCTTCCTGTCTTTAGCACGCAGAAACTCCTGTAGAGAATTCTGCAGTCAAGAGTTTGTTGACCTGGGCACTTACATCTTTGAGACGATCTTGAGCCAGCTGGAACTCTTGCCTAACCTGCTCAGATGATTTCAAAACCTCAGCAAACTAAGATGTACGTATTTAGGTGCATAAAATACAGTCTCAGTCTATGGAGGTTAGTCTGGACATCAGGAAGTTTTACTGCTATGCCTCTAGAATATATTTTTATTTTTTTTTGTTTTCATTAGACATGAACTGATGTTTTGTGGATGCCTTTCACCTACCTGGGCATATAGTTCATTTTGTACCCCAAAAATCCTGCTGGGAGTTGTCCTATCAGTTGATCAGAACAGTCACCTTCTTCAAATGTCATCCTGGAAAGAAAGTACACAAAATTAAAGTAGGAGCTTCATTTCTTAGGTACTTAATTAGCACCTAATTGCCAAAAAGACTTTCTGCAAAAGCCTGTTTGTAATATGATTTCCAAGAATGTATTTTTTTTCTTTCTGCCATGCACATTTTAAAATTCACCTTAGTTGTGGACTTTGCTGGGCTGAAATGCTGTTTGCCTGTAAACTGCAGACATGGTTTTGCCACAAAACAAACAGGGCAGATAATTCATCAAAAGACAATTTGATCCACACAATGAATGGCAAATATGGATGGCTAATTTGGTGAAGTCAAATCTATGGAGAGCTGTTTAGTTATTAAAGTAGAAAGGCACTACATTTCCATTCTTAAGTAAACAAGCTTCAGTCAAAGAACTCGTAACTTGATTTCCTTTTTGATTCTATAAGTCTAGGATTTACAGGACAGTAAGCCAACAGCCCTAAGTGCTGAAACCCTTTTATATAGCAAAGAAATAGTTACCACACAGGCAGTGGCTCCACTGCCAGCTCTTCTGT